GCGGATCTGGCTTCTCCCTTGACTTTGCTCTGTCAGAAGGTCGCAAAAGAGGATCCCGTGACAACCAGGGACAGAAGTATGAACCCGTCGCCAAGTGTGTCTGAATTTTGATCACGTGATCAGGGGGCCACTAGAAAGGTTGTTAAGCGGATCTGGCTTCTCCCTTGACTTTGCTCTGTCAGAAGGTCGCAAAAGAGGATCCCGTGACAACCAGGGACAGAAGTATGAACCCGTCGCCAAGTGTGTCTGAATTTTGATCACGTGATCAGGGGGCCACTAGAAAGGTTGTTAAGCGGATCTGGCTTCTCCCTTGACTTTGCTCTGTCAGAAGGTCGCAAAAGAGGATCGCGCGACAATCGGGGACACCGCAATGGTCATAACTAGGAACCCGTCACCAAGCGCGTCTGAATGTTGATCACAAAATCGTGGGGATGTTACAAAGGTCGTAACTGTGAAGAACGACCCCACGTCCCATTTTTTTCAGCGCCTTTCTAACATTGAACAGTCACTAAACGAACTGTTGTAAGTCGAGGACTGCCTGCGTTTCTATTTCTTCCTGGGCAGTTCCGCCTTCTCGGGAGACAGAGTAGCATTTCAATCCAGTTGGTCGAATGTTGCAAATAACGTCCCTCCTTTTGCTTTGGGAGCTGCCGATCCGATGGTGGCGGCGGCGGCAGCGCCAGCCCTTGAGACTCACGCCGTGTCTTTCTTTTGCTGTTCCAGGCGGAGCCCCCCTGACTGAAGCGGACGTGCGCTCGGTGCGGAGCGGCTGTCATGATCTCTGCGGCACCTCTCTACAGCGGAGTGCATAACTGGACGGGCACTGAACGGCTTCACACGTGCAGCCTCGAAGAAAGGTGTGTGTGCGTGCGGGGGGGTGCGGGGAGCATCCAGCAAAGCACTCGTGTTTCTCTTTGGGGGGGGAGGAGGATGAGACGGGGGAGAAGAAACGTCAGCGTCTCTTGAGATTTGAAACCCCACGGCCGTCTCTTCTCGTTCCGCTGAATCCGCCAGCGAACCGAGATGCCACGCACACACACACACTCACACACAATCAAGTTGCCCGCAAAATATTTGGGGGAAGAGGGTGTTTGTGCGTGCGTGCGTGCGCGCGCACGGAGAGCCTTCTGCACTTGTTTCTCTTCGGGGACGAGACGGGGAAGAAGAAATGTCGGCCTCTTTTGAGGTTTTAACCTCATTGTCCGTTCCGCTGAATTCATTTGTGAACCGAGATCTCTTTCTCTCTCTCTCTCTCTCTCTCTCTCACACACACACACACAAGTTGCTTGCAAAATATTTGGGTGGGGAGGGGATTTTGTGTGTTTGTGTGTGTGTGTTCGCCCCTACTCAAGTGGAAGCTTTTAAAACAGGGATGGGCAATTAATTTCCCCAAGGAGCGTTGTGAGAAGTTGAGACAGTGATAGAAGACGGAGCCAATAGGGCTGGGAAGTCGCGTAGGTCTGCCACGGACACACATCAGGTAAATTGGGGTGGGTGGGGGACTCACAGGTGGTCCTCGACTTACGACCACAATCGAGCCGAACATTTCTGTGGTTTTGCTCCATTTCACAGCCTTCCTTGCCTGCATTCGTTCGGTGAATCACGGCAGTTGTTAAATTAGTAACGCGGTCGTTAAGTGAATCGGGCTCCTGTTGAAAAGCATCCCTGGCCTCTCTCCAGCGGGTGTCGAGCTTTGGAGGAATATATTTCTTTATTTTACGACCCATTTTTAGAAGCGACGGCATAAGCTCAGGCTGACTGAAATGACTTTAAAAGTGCTCTTCCCCGATCTGTAGCGGTTCCCAATCTGACACCTTTGGGGAGACAGGGAAAGCGGTTGGGCACTCTGTCTGAAGAGCGGCTCTCGAGTCAGAGTTGTTTAGTATAAACGAGATCAAAGGGTCCTTGGTGCCCTCTGGCGCTGGTGGATTTTTTACAGACGTTTCATTACCTGATTAGGTTTCAATATCAAACCAGGGCACTGATGAGGTTACCTAGTTGGGTAATGAGACGTCGGAATGAAGGCCACCAAACTCGGAGAGCACCAAGGACCTCATAGTCCTCTTCTTCCTCCTCAATGTTCTCCTCCTCCTCGCTCTCCCTTCTTCATTCCACAAACCACCCTCCCTTCTTGCACTGATGATGTTACCTAGTTGGGTTATGAAACATCTACAATAAAACCACCAAGGTCAGAGAACCAAGNTCCTCCTCCTCCTTTCGCTGCTGCTTCCTGGGAATGCTTCTGTCTGGCTCATTTCCCACGTCTTCCCTGGGAGAAAAGAAAGAAAAATGTGGCTGCCACCATGTCCGTTTTTGGTGAATGCCCCACTAACCCCCGACGTGTCTCTCCGTGCAGCTGCTGAGGCTGCTTTTTCCTTTTCTTTTTTGGGGGTCTGCCAGGGATCCTGACTTGTGCTCCCCCCCCCCCTTCCCCTCTCCAGGCTGTAGGGCTGGGCTCTCTGGAGCTGCGCTGGGCTGGGCTGTCCTCCATCTGATGCTGTTCTGTTCACTCCAGTCTTCTTTCCTTGTTGTCTGACCTTCCTTTTCCAGGGGATGGGGGCCTTGAAAAAAGGACCGGGTCATGCGTCAGAGAGGGAGGGGTCTCCCTGGGATCACTCTCCTCCTCCTCCTCCCTATTTTATTTCTCTGTTGTGAGGCTTTGCATTCGGATACACCAGATACTCCCCCGTTTTGCCTTCCCAGAAGATTCGCCTGTCAGGTGAGCTTGGGGCTGCAAAAGAGGAGAGCCTGCAAACTGGGCTATTTTAAAGCTGGCTGAGGAATTCTGGGAATTGAAGTCCGCAAGTCCTTTAAAGTTGCTAAGTTTGGAGAGCCCCGGAAGGAATCACTGGCTCAAAGCCACTCCGTTGAGATGCATTTTCCCTGGGCCTGGTACTAACAGTCCATGAAATCAGGCTGGTTTCCTTGCCTTCTTTTATTTACTAGATACCCTTCACGTTCTGCTCTGAGCCGGTCAAGGAAAACCACGGAGCTCTCTTTATTTTTATTTTGTACGCAGACTGGACTAAACGTAGGAAAACCATCCCGCTCATCCCTGCCTCCGTCCCCTTAGCTCCGAGCCCGGGATGGCGAACCTGTGGGGCGGGTGCCAGAGGTGGCACACACAGCCCTTTCTGTGGGCACAGGTGTCGTCGCCAGCTGCTCTTTTGCTTTCCGACACGGCGACACAAAACAACTAGTCTTTGCAGGTGCCAGAGCGCTGAAAAACAGCCCGAAAATGCCCCCCAAAACAGCCTGAAAATGGACCCCAAATCGGCCATTTTTCAGGCTGTTTTTCGGGCCAAAAATGGCTCCAGAAATAGCCAAAAAAACAGGCATGCGCACGCTGGCCAGCTGGCTTTCGGGTCTCCGGCACTCCAGCACTCACACATGTTTGGCTACTCGGTGCTGAAAAGGTTTACCGTCACTGCTCTAAGCTGACATCCATAAGCGGTCTGTTAGCCTTCCCCAGCCTGGCGCTCTCCGGAACATGTGAAAACCACGACGCTGGTTATTCCCAGGCAGGGGGAAAGGAGCACATGTGAAGAAGCCACGCCGGCTGTCCCTGGGTCTGACTTTCCTTGGGAGTCTTGAAGCAGGGCCAGCTTTTCCTCTTGGGAGAGAACCCAAGCGGCTTTCATCTCTTCCCAGAACCGCTCCGAGTTGCAGATTTGACGGCTGAGATCTTGCCTCGCTGCCCTGTTTCTTCCCTTGTGTGGATTTCGGCTCAAGAACGCACAGCCCAAATGCAATGAACAGATTTCCCAGGGCCCGTTGTTAAGCATCGGGAAGAGCTGGGATCCCGGGATACCTAGATGACGGGTAGTCCTTGACTTTACGACTGCAATGGAGTCCAGCATTTCTGTTGCTAAGTGAGACGTTTGTTAAGGGAGCGTCGCCCCCATATTTACAAGCTTTCATGCCACCGTCGCTAAGCGAATCTCTGCAGTTGATAAAGTAGTAAACTCTGTTGTTAAGCGACTCTGGCTTTTCCCTTGACTTTGCTCAGTCAAGAAGGTCACAAGAGAGGATCCCGTGACAACCGGGGACACAAGTATGAACCCGTCGCCAAGGGTGTCTGAATTTTGATCACGTGATCA